AATTATTTTAAATAAATTAATTTATAAAAAGTTATTTGATATTAAAATTTTAAAAAAAATTTACTCTAATTTAAAATACCTCAAATCAGCCGATATGAGAACTTGGATTCTAAAATTGAAACTCAATCTTTAAGAACTAGGTCTCAGAACCGGGTTCTAAAGTCCGGAACTTATGAACTTTTACCATCCCCTGACACTTTTCCAAACAAATTATTTTTATTGCAATTTTCTTAATTCACATTTACATTGGCATACTGTATTTGCACCAATTTAAAGTTGAATTAAAATAACCAGAATCAACCTCTAGATTAAATCAATATTAAATTTTCTGTTACTTCAATTATTCCCAGATAATAGTCTCCTTAATGTTTAACTTTACCTGTATAAGGTACTATTGGGCTGAATTAGCTCTTATTTCGTTATCTATCATTCCTCACTCTAAAACTTTCTCAATTCAATAATTTTAACAAATATCATTGCAGAACATTTGGAAGTAAACGAAATAAATAACAAGATCCAAAAATAATATATATATGCATTAAATAAATAGTACAATTAGATTACTTCTATTTTTAGATCTCTTTCGGTTACGTAAGAAATGGGCTTGGTTCAAAATCTCGAAAAGATAACCAGTCTAAAAAATTTCACTAGCCAATCAGATTTCGAGATCAGGTGTAACGTTGCACGATCAGGAAAATTCAAAACAAACGTTCGTTTTGTCAAAAATCGCTCATAACTCAAAATTTAGTCTATGAAACTGCCTTCTGCACACTAACAAAAAGTTTTCCTTGCAAAATTTTGGTATAACTATAACCCTCTAAATCCAACCTACTAGCAATGCCCTAACCCTAACCTATAGCGAAATGTTTTTTTTCTTAGCGAAATTTTTTTTAATAGGATCACATAATGAGCGAAATTTTTTTAACTAGTATTGCTAGTCCCAAAAAGATAATCCCGAAGAACGAAATCCCGAAAAAAATTGACCGGAATTAAGCTAACGCTAACCTAATTCGGGCCAACTTTTCGGGATTCTGATCTTTCGGGATTTTGTTGTCGGTTCACGTAAGAAATACCGTTAATAAAAAATATATATTAATTAATTGATTTATGGTAGATGTCACCTCTACTGCAAGAGATCTTTATTTTCTTAAAATTAGTTATTTCAGAATTTTCAGTCCGATGCAACTCAGTTTTTTTCCTTAGTTTGGCGCACAGTATACGTGAGATAAAATGCTACTTTATATGAGTGCTGCAGAACAAAAACCTGTAACTGATCATCGTAAATTATTATGATCAGTTACAGTTTTTGCTCTGCAGCATTCATATACTATATAATTTATTACAGTTATTGTACTTGCATATTCCAATATCTATGCATGAATGCTACTACGTAATACGTAGAGGATTTAAAATCTATAGCTAATAAATTTTAAACAAAGTTGATCTTTATTTAAAGATACGTGATTATATTTATTGAATAAAACGCTAGTATATGTACATTTATACATGCTGAGCCTATATTTAGGGGTAAACTTAATGAATACTTACATTTGTAAGAACAAACTATGTTTATATTTAGGAAGTGCAAATTTAATGCTTGCTTTTAGAGAAGACATTAATTTAAAAATATAATAATCTGAAGGCATTTAATATATACAGCAAATACCAATTTTAAGTGATTGTGATCTTAAAATTCGAAACAGAAATTAATATCTTAAATATAAAGAATACAACATTGATATTAAGTAAATGCTTAAATAACAGAGGAACATTGCATATCTGTTTAACTAGCGAATATATCCGTTATTATTGCCGGGTTTATTGAATTAGCCGGATTACTCATGTAAATATATTGGGTAACAAGCCTTGGATGCAATTTCTTAATCAAGACCAAATGTTCATAGATAAATTATGTATATTCCTTGACCATGCCAAGATCATTGGGACTTACAATATCCTGGACCGTATGTGTACAAGTAGAAATTTCGTTTCCAACGGCACAGGATATTATCTATTGTCAGGAAACATAGACATCATGTCTATACTCGGAACATGATTACTACCAGTCTCAAAGTGTTGTATATATGCGCATAAGTCATCTGGAGAAATAGAAGGGTGCATATAGCCCATAGGGTTAATTTGTTGGTGAATCATAGAATTAACACCGAGTATGTCCACTTCATTAGTAACAACATTTGTTGAAAGTAGTTTGGCACCATCAATGTTATCACAGAACGATGGATTGTCATTATTAAAGTTAATACCCTCTAAGATACCAGAAACGTTGTTCTCGTCCATAGAAACAGAAATTCCCGCGCCATAATTATCTTTAATTGTTAAATTATCGACAGTGGTTTGACAGGAGAGTGAAGGTATATATGTGTGTGTATTGTTTAGAGAAATGGGTGTGAAATGGTCGGTGTGAAGTTGTTGAAAAGTTATGCCATCTATAAAGTCAGACATGTCAAATAAATTATTCCAGGTTTGAAGTGATGTCGAAGATAATTGTGGTTGCATATATGTAACTGGAGAAACCATATTGAGATGTGTGGGGTGTTTCGGAGTTTCTTTTACGTCATTGTTACAACGTATCATTTTTTGTACGATTGGATCGTTATTGAAGCTTGAACCGTCGATGATGCTAGATGCGACATTTGGTCTCATTTTGTCTATAATTTGTTTAGAATGATTATTCTTTCTTTCTTTGTTCTTATTCGTCTTCCTAGGCCTTTTCTTTTTTCCTGTTGGGTCTGTATTAACAATAAAACTCAATTTTTTCTGTCTCATCCTATTGTCATTAACTTCTTTAGCATACAACTTGAACATATTTTTAAATGCTTCAGAGCTATTATTCCAAATGTCTCCCGATAGCGAAGAAATATCAACATTTTGAATACGAGAAATTTTTAAATTGTCCGATTTTTTTTGCAAGTGTTGTTGAAGCACTTTACGGAATATAGTAAAATCGTTTAACTTTTTGCATCCTTCCGATTTAAAGGTGAGTTCGTTCGGCATTGGAAGGTTGCAACAAAAAGTGACATCATGAATTTTAAATTCAAGAAATTTACTTTCACCTTCATAAAACATACGAGGGGATGCTTTGTCATTTTCAAGAGTCATGTTGAAAGGCTCTGTGAATGCGTTATCAAGATTTGGAAGGTATGTCAATAACGGATTATCGTAATATGAGCTCATACTGAAACAACTTTTATAGCAAGACGATTATTTTTATCAAAAAAATAAATAAAACACTAGGAAAGAATGGTAACGAAAAAAAAAAGCCTTAGGGGGGGTTGGATTTTTGACGCTTTTCCAGGCGTACAAAAAGCATTTATATGCGATTATACATCACAAAATATAACTAAATTAATATAATAACAAAGAGCATATACTACATCAGGCTGAAAGACCGTGCCACTGATATCATATGAATTTGTTCCAATCGATATGTATTGTGATGTTTACGTTTTTGCTTAGATGTGACTTCCTCACAAAGTTCCGTGCGTGCGTGCATACGTACGCACATTCAGTTTCTACGCATTTGTGAATACTAAGTATTGAAAATCATGTAATTCGTAATTTTCATCAACGAACAAAATTTACAGCAAATGGATTAACTCAAAGCACTAGTGATGTTTAATTTGATGCAGAGAGAAACACTCAACAAATTAATCTTTTTTAATCTAATGCTAGTCTATATATGCGTTTTTTGAAAAAAAATTTCAGACAAAAAGGAAACGTTTGAAAGGTTGAGTGCAAACTTTACCGGAGCTGTCTCCGAATGTCTAAAAGTGATATAAATGGCGTTTTTAATAAGTGCAAAAAATGGAAATTTCAATACCATTCAATCTTTTAATATTATTTGACAATATTATTTGAACAACATTGCACAATCGTATACAGTGTTGTGCAAAAGTTGTACTCCTTGTATTTTTGACAAATCAAACTTCAATATCAGGTGTAACGTGATGGTATTAAATTGTCGTGTGACAATCAAACCGCGTTATAATTAGGAGTAGGGTTAGCTTTTATTAGCAAAATTACGAAGGAAATATTTTTAATTTGATCGCATAAGTAAATCTTTATTTATTCAAACCATTTATCTAAATCAGTAAAGGAACCTTTAAATAAGAAAATATTAAATTTTTCAAGAAAGGTGGTTTTGGGTAAGTTAAAAATATAGTAATATTGAATTTCTAGTCTACTTTGAATAAAAAAATTGTGTTGTATTAATCTACTAAATCAATTTTGGAGATGTTTAGATCTAAAGTTAAAGTTTTCAACAATTTTTTTATAGTTGATGATTTAGTAGTTAGTAAATAAATAGAGATATAGATATGCCAAGTTGAGGCTAACCTGCCAAGCGAAGAAGTGCACTCAAAGTTCCCCTAAGTTGATTCCCGCAGACACATAACTGTAGTCTATTTTCTGGTTTGTATAGTGGGATAGAGATAGCTAATACAAAATTTTAACATAATTAAGTTTGGTAAAGAGGGTTCTATATCAATATTCTGAAGATCAAAATCCTGAAGATACTAAATCCTGATACACTAAATCCTTAAAAAACAAAATCCCGAAAGTATAATATCCTGAAAATTTAAATCCTGAAAAAAAAAATCCTGAAAGAACATGATCCTGAAAGATCACAATTTTGAAGGATTGTAATCCTTCAAAATTGTGATCTTTCAGGATTATGTTCTTTCGGGATCATGGTCTTTCAGGATTTTTTTTTTTCAGGATTTAAATTTTCAGGATATTATACTTTCGGGATATTGTTCTTTAAGGATTTAGTGTATCAGGATTTAGTATCTTCAGGATTTGATCTTCAGGATATCGACATAGAACCGGTAAAGGTAAAAAGTATAATAACAAATTTGTGTATTAGATCTTTAAAAAATAATTCAAAAATTATAAATAAAATAAAGTATTTTGAATTATATCGAAATTTTTTTATAAATAAGATTTGTAAAAATTTTTTATTTTAATTTTGCAATTTTGCTCTTTTTATTTGTATATAGTTTCTATTAAATATTAACTCTAAAGAGGCTTGTTTGGCTTATACCCAGGTGTGACCTGCCTTAATAGAACTTGGCCTCTTTTTGAGTTTTTAACTTACTAAGAACTTGATTCTTTTGTTTAACAGCTAGTATTTATATATCTAGCTATTTTCCAATAGCCAAGTTTAATTCTAATCTAACTAATCTAATTAATTAATTTATAATTAAATTAAAAAAATAAAAATAAAAAATAAACAAAACTAAAATATAAAGGAGGTATAGGTATTATGGTACACTTAAGAGTTGCTAATAATAAAAATTTTATGAAAAGTATATTTATTCACAAGATTTGTTTAATTAATATAATATTCAATTTAATATCTCATAATAAAAAAAAACCTACACTTTAAAAAAAGACTTAATATTCTAAACTTTAAAAAATCATTTAAAAAACTGTTATATTTTTTGAGATTGAGGGGTATTATAGTATACTACTATTATAGTATATGTGAAATATAATATACTACTATTATAATATATCAATATAGAGTATTTTTTTTTTTTTTTTTGGTATTAAGGTGACCCCTTTGGTCAAGTACTTTTATTATTGTATGGACTATTTTTACAA